AGGTCAAAAGAAAATTCAGACCAGCCAACTTGACCCCATCTCTCATCAACAGCTCTTTCAAATCATCCCCCCTCCCAAAATTCAGGCACAGCTCAAAATCTTGGTCATTTATCCTTCCTAAAATTTCAGTCGGGTTCATTCTAGTTTATTGTATCTTCAAGAATATTTTTTCTATTTTTTGAATTTTTCTTGACATTTTTGTCAAATTAAAGGTCTTAATTAGAATATAATTTATCTAAATTGTCTGTGACATATTTTAAGAAAAAACTTTATTCACTCCCCTTTAAATAGATATATCTTCAATAAGATCCTTTCTAATTTATAAATTTTTTTATGTATTAAAATTCAAGTCGATTCGATTCGATGCGAGTCGATTGAAATTTAATTTTAATTGGCTCGAATTTTGATACGTAAAAAAATATAAATTTGAATTGACTCAAATCGAATTTTAATTGGTGCTAACAGTTTAGGTTGAACTCAAATTGACTTGAATTTTAATTAAAAAAAAATTAATTGACTTGAATTTTAATTAAAAAAAAAATTAATTGACTTGAATTTTAATACGCATAAAAAAAATCAGCTTGAATCGAATTTTAATTGGTTCAAATTTTAATATATAGAAAAACAAATTTTAATCAGGTTAAATTTTAATAAGTAAAAAAATAAATTTTAATCGATTTGAATTTTATATAGAAGTATTGTTTGGGGTTTATGTAGAGACAATTTTGGTATTTTAGATAAATTTTTTTATTAAAAATTGAGGTTTAGTGGCAACGAGTGTTAATAATATTTAAATATAAACTAGAATGGGTGTCGGTGATATTTTGAAAAATAAATGGAATATCTTTGAAGATATGGTAAATTAGAAAAGGTCTTACTAAAATTTTTCCTTTATTCTTTTATTTTTGTAATAGTTTGAATAGTGTGACATTTTACTTTTCTATATATTCTTGATTAAAATCATACCATTGGCTCTCATGTAGATTTATGAAGAACTTCTGTGAAGAATATCATTGCTCTTGTAACACACCTGATATATACAGTCTTTTAGCTGATATTTTCAAACTATGTTTTAATCAGACTAAAAAAAGACCAAGCAAATTCGGTCCTATACACAAAACGAAGAGAAACAACTAGAATTACATAAGAATTTGCACAAGATACTTTTGGAAATTAAGTCAAAATCCAATCAAGTATTGGTCTACAGCCTACCCAAACAGATCCTAATAACCGAGTACGAATACATCGACATCGAGTATCAGATTTGATAACTTGTCCACACGTTTGACTTCTAGTGCTACTCAGTCGTAATGAAGCTGCTGTCGTATTATTGGGAAAACCCGTGAAGCCGTCTGATAAAGACGGACTCGTACAGCGAACTTCAAATAATTAAAATATAAAATTTAGTTTGATTTATTTAAAAAAGAGCAATACTATAATTAAGAACTTAATTCAAAACAATAATTAGATTAATGGTGAGTCTTAATATTAAATAAAATTTATTTTTAATCTAACAATTATAGTTGGTTAGACATTCAAATTAAGTTCAAATAACATTTTCGTTTCGCATACAAAGATTGAAAGGCTAACACGTGACACATAAAGGCAATTATAAAATTTTTGGTTGGTACACATCAGACAAGTTCCATCTTGTTGACAAATTTGTAAACATGTGGCGGGCTTAACGGGGTAGGGCCCAGGTTGTCTTGTCTCACAAGCCCATTTGTGCCGAACGGACCAACCGTTCTTTTAAGTGCCCGGTCCGATTGGGATGAAAGAAGAAAAAATGAAAGGAATAAAATTTTCATCTTTGTGAGAAATGAACATCATCATGTTTTTCCTCTATTTCTGTCATGTTTTATCTTGAAAAATAGGGGGCGGCGTCAATTGTCTTCACACCCTATTTTCTATTCCACCCTCTTTTCCATTGATATCAAACGAAGGAGGAGACACTCTTTCCTTGCCATTTTTCATCTACCCAATTTTTCATTAAATCAAATGAGCCATTGGCTTAATGAACGAAAAATAGACAAGGCTAGGTTGGTTGTTGTCACTATTTATTATTGACTTTGGCATTGTGGGGTTAACGGATAGTCAGAACTATATCATACAGGAATGATAACTGGGAAGAAATAACAAGGAACTTAAAGCATATACACCAAGAAAAGGCAATATATATGTGGAGTCTAACAAAAAATAGTTTCAAACCTTAACACTCTATTTTGGTACGATAAAAAAATGGAATCATAAAAAGTTTGAGAGATAAATAAAATATTATGTTTGATAAGGAAAGATGGAAAAGTGAATGGATTAACTTTCATTCCAACTCACCAAAATCAATCCCTCCAAAATCGGAAGGAAAGTGGATGAAAAATTAATTATTTGTGTTGAGATGTATCTTATTTGTCTATATGTTATGTATATATTAATTTCATACAATAATAAAATATCGAACTTGAAAATGACCTGACCCGCTAACAAAAAATATAAAAGACTCATAATTTTATGGCTTAACACGAATCTAACACGACACGACTCGATTGTCACCTCTAATCTTAGCCGGTGCAAAAAAAAAAAAATAATCATTTTTATTTTCCATCCATCCTACCAAACACAAAGGAAGAAAAATATATCATTCCTACTTTCAATCATTGAAGGATAAAAAATATATCTCTCCTATTTTTCATCATTCTTGGTAGTTTGACTACTAAAAACATAGCTTTACTTTCTTTTGGGCTTCAGTAAATTAGTACAGCGGACCTCAGTATGAGAACTGTTTAAGCGTGTTGGACCACCGAGGATTTGATCGCATAAATTTGGGCCTAGGCATGTTAGAACTGATTAGATCTTCTTAAAAAAAAAGCCCAAAGTACATGGGCTTGCTTTACTAAGATCATGCACTTGCATGGGCGAAAGACCAAAATCGAAATATATGGGATCAACATGTATGCAGGGCTCCAATGGAATTGGGGCCTAAAACAAAATTTATAAATGAGGTCATATTAATATTTAATAAAATAATAATAATAAATATTAAATTACATTCATTTGAAATATATATTTTTTAATTTTCAATTCGAGATGAAGAAATGCAAATTAAGTTGTGGCATTTATTTTTTTTCATATATAATTCTGAACAAAAAATACAGTTAAACCATTTATAAATTTTTAATTATAAATCTTATTTATTGGGGCTTTAAATTTTTTAGTTGGGTTATATTCTTATAGGACGTGTTTGTTAGGCCTAAACATGATATGAATATAAAATTTTGACAAAAAAAAAAAAAAACCAAAAAAATTCAAAGTGACAGAATTGAGATGGGAAAAGTATTGGATTTAAAAAATAAACTATCTGCTACTACATCTACAGCATGGTATGGATTTTTATTTTTACAAAAAATTCTATTTATACAAAAACTATTAATTAACAAACCAAATAGCATGGAAGTGTTGTGATTCTTCTAAATGTGAGTGATTGGGCAAGTGATCATAAGGGGTGGGTCCACATTTCCCAAAGCAAACTCGAACTTTTCAAGATATTGGTGGGCTGGTATGGTGGTTGAGAAGAAGATGTACTTTCTAGCCAGCCACTCCAGTTACATGCATGGCGTAGGAATTTCTAATGATTTTTTTTTCTCAAATCCACCGTATCATCATCATTATTTATATACAATGGCTAGAATTTGCAGATAAGTTTAGTAAATGATATTTAATTGGAGTAGAGAAGCCTTACGTGAAGGGCACCTGCACCCACCTGGGGGGAAAGGAGGAGTTTAACCAACCCAACCCAACCTAACCTATCCACACTCCACGTCCTCAACATTTCTAATTACCAGAAAGCCCCCTTGGTTATTTCTTCAAGACTCCAACTTTGGTTGAAGTTGTAATGCAATGGGTTAATTAGTAACTGAAAATTTTAAGGGAAGAGAGGATTAGGAGTTCAAACTAACAACAGGGTTTTTTTCGATTTGTGCGTGTCATCAAACTAACAACAAGAAAAAACAATAAACTCAAACTTTGAATCATAATTTCAATTGTTTTGTGTTCTTAGCAATGAGAATTTGATTTCTTTACCTCCTCCCAACTTGTTTGGATTCAAACCTTGATGCAGTTTTTTGATTGTCCCATGTTGTATGTTTATCACTAGGTTGAGACGTGACCATGGTATTTACAATTGAAATTAATAGCATATTGTGGTTTCTCTGAAAAGTAATAAAATGGATTTATCCGAATGATTAGAAAGTTGTTCATACCTAACTATAACGAGTCGTGAGTCTCACCATCTTACATATCTTAGACATTTTACCATTTCCCCAAAGAGCACTGTATATAAAAATTTAAATTTACTTAAGTGAGAAGTGATGAACTTTTCGATAATAAGAATTTTTACTCCATTGATAAAAGCAAACCAAAATAATAGAGAGGTGCAGCCATTCAAAATTTGAACTCATTAAATGAGGTCATTTAATTTGCAATCTGGCCTAGAGAGAAAGAAAATATACTCATTGATAGATGAATTATAACAATCTTTTTCTTTCTTAATTAAGTTAAAAATGCAGAGGGATAAAACGTTACAAACCAATGAACATATTATAGAAGAGAAGAGTTAGAATAACCCCCTCTTCGGCATAAAATTTACCATAAGGTATAATCACAAAGTAATCAAACCAAAGTAATTACCAAGGATAAAGAAAATGAGTATATAAAGCTGCAGCTGGCTCACTTTAATCCCTAAAATGAATCAAATTTCTTTCTATCATGATTTTACCCGTAATTATTGTCGCTAATCAGGGTCAATATCGTCCTCACCTATTAGTTAACCCTACCTTTGAAAATTTTAAAAAGTGGAAAGAAAAACCTCTATCCGCCCTTCTCCTTCCACGTACCTATATAATTAGCTATGTTGCAGGTTAAGAGTTGGAACTCAACATCCCTTCTAATCCATTCCAGATCAAGAAAGTTCTCTCTCTCTCTCTCTCTCTCTCTCTCTCTCATATGCAATGGCTGGATATGAAGAAAAGTACTGGCTTCCCACTCATGTTCTCGACGAGGCATGTGATGCTTCAAAGGTCTTGTTTCAACTTCCTACTTCTCTGCTATATTTTTCGCCTCTCTCTCTCTCGTATAATCTTTCTTTCTGTTTCTCTTTTGCTTTTTCAAATTTCAAGTGGTGAACTCATTCGTTTTTGTGGTATGTTGATTTGAATTTTGAATTTTTCGATTTTCATTGTGCTTTGCAGGAACTGATCATCACACATTATCAACAACATCGACATGGTCTCAAGTCACCGGCTCCGGCGGCCGAAACACTTCCGTTGGTACACATCTCAATCCTTACTTTTTTAGGCTAGCTGTGCTATTTTTTTTTTCCTTCTACGTTATTTTTAATAGAGAGGGACAGAGATTCAACTACATTTTAGCGAATCATCTTTAGTTTGGAATTTGAAAGATTCTAATACAGTTAATATCTCCACATGCAATAATAAATAATTATCCAGATCCAGTAAGTCGAATATATCTGGCTGATTAAATATGATTTGTTTAAAGTCAACAGATTTCAACAAATTTGGGCGTCCAATTAAGGGTAGATTGAATGCTATTATATACTGTGCTTGAATAATTTTATGCAAATTATTTTTCTGGAATGATGAGGAACCCTAAACATGGTCAGAAGCTTAGTGGTAGGTGAAAAGTCAGAAATTTCATAGTCCTGTAAAATGGTGAAAGTAGGAAATTCCATTGCATTATAAATTGGAGACATAAAATATAATTTAGAGATATAATTTAAAGACTCAATGATTGTAATTATTTGATTATCAGAGAGTTCTAGCACTAAATGCATTTTACTATCAAAATCCAATAGTTACGATACATAAACTTAAGGAGTAGCTCAACTGACAACAGAGACGATTTATAAGTTAAGATGTCGTGAGTTCGAATTTTGATAACTTTTTAGGGTCGGCGTGGATGCATGCCTTTGATTGTGACTAAAAATATTATTAACTCTAAAACATAATTCAAGATATAATGCGGATATTCAACTATCAATCTAATGGTTACAATACATTCAGTCCCAAATAATTTATTGAAATTTTAGAAAACTTGATTATAATAGAGGATCACGTATGAGTGGTGCTCCTTTTACTGAATATATTGGCTAGAATTGAAATCGAGCTCGATCTGCAGACGATTAACTTGTTTCATTGAACAAAATTTGTTCCATCAGCACTCAAAATGTAGATTGAAACCACATCAAAGACCAAGAACACCAACGGGTTGGGCAGCTGGTGGCCCTGGAATGCAAGCCATCTTTCTGGATTCCGGTCAAAGATCTTGTGGAACTGGAGTTTTTCTCCCTCGAATGGCGGGAACTCAATTCCAATTACCCACTAAACCAGGTAACATTATTTAACTTATGATGGAAAAAAAAACATAGTTCCACTCCCCATTGATAAAATGCATTCGAGAGTAACTAGAAAAATAAATTAGTCATGTTTAGTGTTTTGTACCGTATCTCTGTTTTTATTAAATAAAAAATGTGACACATTATTATTATTATTTTTGATACATTGGTTTATTAATTTATCATTTTTCAATCAGTGGTTATAAATCATTTCAACTATAATCTATGGCTATAGATGAATTTCGGCACGGTGCCATGGTTGTACCGTGGCTTTTATATTAGTAGTCTCATGAATTCATGTTTATGTCCAATAACATCTGTGCAGCTTGCTCTCCTGTTCTTCTTCCTTCCCGTGTTGTACAAGCTCTCAACCTCAACGTGCATGAACTGGGCTTGCAAATAAAGCCACGAGGTCAGTTTACTTTGTGTTGCAAATTTTAGGGAGCAATTAGGAGGGTCCAGGTGTTTTTCTGAATTCAATACGAATTATGATTATTCTCAAATTGAGTTATTAGATTTAATTCAAACTCTTTGACATGATTTTTTTAATGTTAAATTTATAAACTCCGATAACATGATTCGGGTTAAATTTAGGTTTTACTTTCAGGTCATATAATTCTGACTGATTATACATGTTTAGTTCGAGTTAAACACAATATTATTTATTCAAATTGGGTCCCGATAATTAGTCTTTAATGCATTTGCAGATCTCAGCAATAACTCCAAAAGTGCAGATCACAAATCACATAACAATAAAAAGGGAAACGATGTGTCTGGCCAATGTTGTGTCCTCTCTCAAAACCGAAGTTCTTCATCAGAGATATTTCTTCCAAAGGATTGGACTTACTAGCACTCGGAGAAAATAACGGTGCTGATATTTAACAATGCATAAAAAGCAGAAGAGAGGTGTTTTTATTACCATTGATAATTAACTGATCGTGTAATGTAATCTAAATAAGAAAGAGGAAAGATTTCCCCCTGTGATCTCGATGATACATAAATGTATCCCCCAACAACTTCACATGCACGGGAAAAACAGCAAGAAATAATGTTATATTTCCTACAATGGTCTCATAATTGGTTTTCTTGGGTTGATCATTCATAGATTATAGGATTTTATAGTGTTTTTTTGTTTTTTTCGTTCTTTTGTGTTTGTGGTTGATGAGCCGAAGCAATAATATTGTTCCATTATGATCTTGACATTACGAGATAAATTTATAAAAATCACCTCTCTATGTACGAGATAAGACCGTGTATATATAATTTTTCCCCGACCCCATGGAGACAAAAGTCTCATGCACTTCCCACTAAAAAAATGCATATTTTGGTTTTTTTTTTTTTTTGAACCGGGAAAAAACATAAATATGTTGTAATAAGTTAAGAGTTTGACCAAATGACTCTTCATCCCATGTTTCAAATCCTTGATAAAAATACGTCTCTTTTTACTAATCATCTGCATCTATGCTACTCAACTCACAACTTATGAGGAAAAAACTATATTGGTATACAAGACTCTTGTTATAACTAAAGCAAATAAGTGGTAGGCATCGTTATTCTCCTTTTAGAGAGACTTAGTTCTAAATTGAAACTCATATTTTTTAGCGGATGAACATTTGTTATCACTCTCAATCTAAATTCTAATAAACAAGTTATTAAAATTGAAAATAAGATGATTAGAAGTGTTATATTATTCTATATACATGTGCACAAAGAACCCATTACCTATTAATGAGGATTGTTTGGAATTTTTTGGTTTATATGTTGTACTTCGATATAGAATAATTAAGAATGGTAAGAAGCCTAGCTTATTTGAAGCAAAAATAACCAAACTAAAGATAATGGACATAAGAGAGATGACAACTTAAAGGGAGCAATGTGTTCTATAGAAAAGAGATAAGGTCTTATCAACATAAAGAATAGAGGAAAATAATTTTTCAAAGGGAGTTGTTGGGGTATTCATTTTTGGAGGAGGGATGTTATGAGGAAATAATATTTTGGAGAGGAAATTGAGGGCTTGTTTGATTTGCATCTCAAAAAAAGTATTCGAAAATAGTTTTTGAGAAGAATTTAAGAAAATGTTTTTAAAAATTTTTAGATTGTAAGACCTGTTTGGTTATATATTTTTAAAAATAGTTTTAAAGAACAAAAAATTATAAAATATGTTTGGGCAGTAATCCACAAAACCCATAATTCTCATTTCTATCTTTCTTCCCTCTCTCTATCTTCACAAAATCCACACACACACAAACACATATACACACACACACGCATACCCACACAAATCTATGTGTGTGTGTGTGTCTTGAACCTAGACCCAGATGCAAATCTATGTAGATCTGAACTTTAATTGTTGCGAGAGAGAGAGAGAGAAAAAGACCCAGATGTGAAAAAAAAAAAAAAAGACACTGGAAAGGAGATGGAACCCAGATCGTTGCACACAGAGAGAACGAGAGAGAGAGAGAGAGAGGTATGAGATGGAGAAAACATAAAGTGAAGGGTTTTCATACTTCAATAAAAAAATGCATTTTGTTGCTACGGAAGTTTGATGAGTAGACCTCATTAAAGAGGAGGGGTTGTTTCCCTTGTTTTCTATTTTACCCTGAAAACTCAGAAACCATGGCTGGCTTGTTTTCTATTTGTTTACTCCAAATCTCAGGAGTTGTTTGATAACTGTTTTTGTCCTGTATTTTATGTTTTTGTTTTCAATTTTTGTCAAAAATAAAAATAAAAATATGTTTTATAACTGTTTTTGTTTTTGTTTTGTATTAGTTGTATTGAGACAAAGACAACAAAATGAGAACAAAAAAATTGTGTTCTAAGAAACACGCGAAACACAAAACACAAAACACACGGGATTGAGTTTAATGAGGTCTCAACTTCGACTCCTACTAACCACAAAATACCACTCTATATGAGAGAGTATAAATATGGGGTCTTAATCGTTTAGTCTCACTGAACACACGACTCAGCAGATTGGCGAAGAATACTTACCTCAAGAAAAGGGACTTCCAATCTCAGATCGACGAAGAAGGAGCTTCCTTTCACTATGAAGGTAAGTGTAATCCCTTTACTTGTACAGATATATGTATATATATGCTTAGATCTGTACATGGCAACCCCCATTTTTTGTTTGATCTGTATATACATGCATAGATCTTCCTTCTTTTTTTTTTGTTTAATCTGTATTTTTTCACCACAATATACATAGATCTGTATATTTTTTTCTCTGTTTGTCTCTCTCTATCTCTTTCTCTCTGTGTCCGTTTTTTTTTGACATTGTTTCACATTCTATATTCTCTCTGTGAAGCACGTGATTTTTTACTCATGTACCTATTTAATTTTTTGAATGCTTCACTAGATTTATATGTCAGTGTGTAAAGTGAATATTTATGCTTAATAGTCTTTTTTTTTTGTTAGGGTTTTAATTTCTATGTCTAGGCCATATACTACTTTTATCTAGTTTGAAGATTTTTTTGAGTCACTGATTCGAAACTCGTAAGAAAATGAAATCTTGAATACCCACGAATAAGATTTTTTTGAATTTTCAGACCAAACTACCTTTATCTAGTCTGTTTAAGTGTCTTGTGTAATTTATTCAAAGCTTCAATATATTCAAAAACTTGATGAAATTCCATTTATAACGCAGTAGCTACGACCTCAATTCTCATGTTAACTTAATACAGTACATGTTAACTTTGTTGAACAACAAATTCATACCCATAAACCTTTAAATTGCAGGGGGTGGGGGGAGTTGTAGGGGGGTGAGTTTTGGTAAGGACTGGCTTGTAGGGAGTGGGTTTTGTTGTGGAATGAACTGTAGGGGGTGGGTTTTGGTGTGGAATTAACTGCAGGGGGTGGGTAAATGTTGCTTGCCTTTATTGTTTACTTGGATTTGATGTTAAATTTAATTGGTTTACTTGTACACCTTGATCCATGTTGTATTTGTTAATTAGTAGTATGGTTATGTGTTGATAAATTGTTAGTATAATTGAGAAATTATTGTAGATGAAAATGGGTAACGAAGAAACTCATGATTATAAGGTTGTAGAGATTGACCATGACAAAAATGTAGTCATATGGACGTCCAATAAGGAAACAATTTTCATTGACTTGATGGAAAAGGGAAGTAGCGGGGAATAGATCAAATACTACTTTTACCAAACTTGGGTGCAATTTCAACTGAATATATTATAAAGTGTATTGGAAGAGATCTGGAGATTGCTTAAGGGTTTGCAATTTCAACTGAAACATGTATACAAGGAAATTAATGTTGTAGTTGATTTCTTGGCCTCATTTGCCGTTAGAAACTAGTTGTTTTACTGACTTTTCTGGCAGTGGTATTCTGCTACTGGAGAGAAGGTTGATTTTGCATCAGGACCAGTCCAGGATACTTATTACAAGGAGGAGAAAGGTTGTATCTTCTGGTTAATAGGTTTGAATTTGTAGACTGGGAATTCTATTATCCGACTGTGTTCTGTGATTAGGAAGCATGAAGCTAATTTTGATATGTTTCTAAAGGCTGAATAGTTGGTATGTGGAAGATAAATGTTGGGTTTAAATCTTTTTGAAGGATTAAAGCAAACTCTTGCATCTAGAAGAGGATTGTTAACAGGCCCCGTATCTGTTATTGATTTGTTGTTGCTTGGGATCTGTCAGACTATGATGTTGTTTAGGTGGTGTTACTATGCTGCTGCTGCTGATTTATGGACAGCTTGTTAAAGGATGATTGGAGGAGGTCATAACAGCAGTATTGTCTATTCTTTGTAATAAGATCGTCGGTTGTAGTATAACAGAATTCTGTTAGGAAACAGAAAATCTGTTTTTCTATTAAACAAATTTTTTGTTTTAGTTTGATCCTTGTTGAACAGAATCTATCTGGATTCAGTTGGGAAGAGAGGTTCTGGGTTATATCAAGACTTATCTGCTATGGTTTTAGAGGTGCTGTCTGCTGTGCCAGGAGCTGATTTACATTGGGCAAGCATCTGGTGTGTAGCTAGAAGGCTTGGGCAGTTGGGAGCATTTTGTCCGTTCTGGTCTGCTTCTGCATTCAGTCTAGGTTGGTGTTGTGCTAGAGCTTGGAGCTTGGTGCTGATAGAGTTGAGGCATGGAGCTGGACTACAAGAGTTGTTCAAGTTTAAGAGTCTTTTATTGTAATTTGAGATGGTTTTGGTCAATTTGAAGGATTAAAGTCATTTTTTCTATTTTTTAGAACATCTTGTGCTTTGATTCTTGTAATTCATTATTTTTTGTAATAAAATTTTTTCCTTTAAAAAAAAAAAGGGTTTAGTTTGATCCTTGTAATTTATGAATTCATTCAATAAAATTTCTATTTTTTTTAAAAAATAATTATATATTATAAAATATATTTAGAATAAAACGTGAAATAGTTACCAAACATACTTTTTATTTTTTATTCTCATAATTTGATAGACAAAAATAACACTCAAACATGTTTTTTATTTCAGTATTTATCACAAAATAGAGACAAAAATTGTTTATGTTTTTTATTGTTTTGAAGACGCAAAAACGAAAAATGACCCCTCATTTTTTTCCAAAAATTTGAGAATAAAAATGTTAAACAAACAAATTTTAGGTGTTTTTTAAATTTTAAGAACAAAAAAAAGTTTTCAAAAACAAAACTAACACGGCCTGAGTTTTTATAGAAGAAAGATTTTTTTATTTGAAAGAGATGAGAAAGACAAAAAAAAGAAGGATAAAGGCATTTTCAAAATAGATATTTTTCTTGAAAGAGAAGAAAAGCTATTAATGGGCCCACACTGAACATTATTTTTTTAGATTTAAGTTAGAAAGAGAGAATTCATATTTGTAGCTAAAAAAAAAAGAGGGTAAAAGTAGGTGTTAAAGAGGGAGCAATACCTTTAGAATAATTTTTTTATAGTGGAATATGAAGAAAAATAGTTTTATTTCGAGAGAAAGAATTATCTTTAGAGAGAAACAAATGAGCTTCTTCAAAGAGAAGAAAATAGTTTCTTAGAGAGAAAAAGAGAAAAATGTTCCCTTTGCATCTTTTATCAATCAATTATTATAAATTACATATGCGACATGCATAAAACTCGATAGTTTTTTTTTTCCTTTTGCAAGTCTTTTTTAACTTTTTGGGGTTGTGGATAAATTTGGATTTATTAGACTCTCTATTTCTTTATGTGATTCTATAAAGACATTGGACCATTTGGATGTTATTTGTTTTTTGTGTGTTTCATCGAAAACAAAGGAAATATGTGGTTAAGAATGAATTTTAGAGAGACTTTATTTTTTGAGAGACAATGAATTCTTATTATTAGTCCAATATCAAAATAACATACAAAATTGTAATAAAATTTATAATAGGGTACAATAAAAACCTTAAGCTACAATTCAGGACTATTTATCTATAAATTTATACTACTAATAAAAGTGTTTTAGAATGAAAATTTTTTGATTTACTATTTTTGCCCTCATAAAGAATTGAAAATGTCACTCTATCATTTCACACTTAATATCTAAATTATTATCATATCCTTAAGCATTTAAATCTCTAAATTACACATAAGATCACTTTTAATTATCTATTCTCTATGTATACATATAAATTTTTATGAAACTTTTTGATTAACTATATTATTCTTAAAAAATATATGCATCATTATAAGTTATAATACAATATTCAAAAAAAACATTTTAAAATTCTATCAATCTAATATTACTCATATCATTTACAAAAAGATAATATTATGACTACATATGTATATTTTATTTTTCATCAAAAATGTTTAATCCTTTCATTTTTAAGATAAAAAATAATACATATATAATTTTACATAATTCTTCAGTCATAGTAAACTTTTTAAACTGTATTAAAATTTTATGTGAAAATAGATTGTAGTATATTTTTAAAGAAAACTTAATTTTTTTAAAAATTTTAATTTTCTTTATTATATATTATAGCATAAATATATTAAATCTTATCCCAATTGACCTAAGTGATCCTAATTCCAGTAAAGTTTTAATATGATTGGTATATTGACAATTATTTTTATTTTATTCAATTATTTATAAGTGAAATCTTAATCAAATTAATTTTTAAAAATTTAATTTTCAAATATCACTAAAAAATCACTTTCAATTACAAAATTCTAGAAAAAAATAAAAATTTAATTTTTTTTATCCTTTTTCTTGAAGTTAGAACAACAAATATTGGAAACATGCAAAGTTTTCAAAAATTCTATAGTAGAGTATGAGTAATGCAAACATAAGTTTGATAAATTTGAGATGATATTTAATGTATGTATATATATGTCAAATATTTATTTATTAATTTTTGTCTAAAAAAAATATTCATGTACAATATACGCATGCAGTACATTGCTAGTCTATATAATAAGGGAATTAGGAATTTGAATCTTATTTGTGTATATTTTTTCCTCTTATTTCTATCACGAGTTAATATTTATTTTAGACATTATTTATATATGATATTATACATGTTGATATTTTTTTGAAATCATGAATTTTGAGAAAAAAATTTGTAAATAATAATAGATAAAAATTAATTTCAAATTATGTAATTAAAGAAAGAGAAAGAAATAAAAATTATTAATTTCAAATTTTGACTCGTGCCTTTAAGCACGAGTTATGATTAATTATTTAATGTTTTAATTTGATAAATATTTATAAATTTATTTTATACAAATTAAAATGGCATATATAATTATATGCAAAAATATAAACTAAATTTTCATAAGAACATAAAAATTGAAATAAAATATAAAATTAATGGAGTTTATGGCTTTATGAGACGACTTATAGGCAATTATACCTCCATCTATACAATCCTACGTGGGCCAATAACTGAGCACCAATCGAGGGAACACAATATACTAGGGTATTGCTACGTAGTAGAAGATTCAAAATACTTTCTGGATGGCAATTACAGTTCAGAGTATACGAAGGTTTAACCGACGGTGGCGCAGAACACGTTGTCCGTGCTTTCTCAGTCTTCGCTTATGGAGGCGACTCTTCTGTCCTCTCACCAGTTCAGCCCTCTACTCGTTCTATCAAAGAGTGTCAAGAATCGAGGTATGAATGACAACTTCTTGTTTAGTTCTTCTTTCTTCGTTTGATTGGCGAGAAAACGCAAGAAAACAAACAAAGATTGATAAAAAAGACAACGACAGATGAAATAATGCTGTTGAATCTTTGTAAATTCGGTATTGTTCACCAAGAAACGGAAAAAAGATTGATAGAAGAAACAAAAGATGTAAAACAAAGAAACGGAAAAAAAAGATTGATAAAAGAAATCAACAGATGAGATAATGTGGTTGAATATTTCTAATTTGTTATGACAATTTGATCATTAGAGGCAAGGGTTCAATTTTTTTTTCCTGTCCTATATTTTTGCTGGCTTTCATGAGTTTTCTAGGCAGCGAAACACGGCGGTCAATCTTCCTTTATTTTATTACACACGCACCCACTCTCCGTGTTTCCGTCCTGTGGCAATGGAATTAGGTTTAAGGTGATTGAAGTGAAGAAATTGCATGCCATGCCTGGCCTATTAGGTCCGTATATGGCCCCCATTATTTAACCAATTTTGGTATTTGTTAAATATATTATATGCTGGTATGTATTCAGGTTCTTGAATCAACAGTGTTTATAATATGACATTAAGGTTTGAGATGGCTTCTTGGTGGGCCTACTCAAGGAGACTGATGGATTTCAGAAGATCAGCTACAGGGCCCTTGTATCTTTGACTCAATGCTTTGTTTCATTCATTTCTTTCTATTTCTTGTAACTGACCTGTGGGATCCCTGTGACCTAAAAATGAATAGAAAAGAATTCCGTTGCAGAAGATGTGGATTACTAACAACTGCATTTTCTGCCTTCCGTTTTGCTTACCCAGAGTTTCCAAACTACTTTCTCAGTTGGGTGGTAATCTCTGGCTTGTCAAGGTTTTAGTATGGTAATATTAACATATATTTGGTCATGCGACATATTAGTAATTGTTTATTCTATCTGAATCTGTTTTTTCATGGTGGGTTGGATCTGACCAATCTCTGCTATTATTTTCGTTTCATAAAAAATAATTTTCATTAGATTAACTTGGACCAGATTTAATTGTTATTATGTATTCTGTAACTATTTGACATCATTTTTCTTTTTTCAAATTTTATGGCATCTTGAAGCTTCAAATGTTCTTTTTCCCTTTATCTGGTTTCTGTAGTTATTCTTTTAAGGCCAGTTTAAAATTTTCTAGGGAAAGGGAACTTGATGCCATGTTCACATGGTGCCTTCAGTGGAGGTTTCAAATCCGAGAGATTAGACTTATCAATCATCTGTTTATCTGCTGATCTAAAGAATTTAATGGTCTTATTGCTTACGGAATTATTGATGTTTGATTGATTACTAAATTTTCATTGCACGGTGAAGTGGAGACTGTATGTTAATAGTTATCTGGCTACTCTGTTGCATATTGTTACAAAAAATGTGATCTACTTTGTCATATTGAATAGTTCCAGATGAAACTATTACATAATCCTATTATAGAGATGACATTCTGCTTAGCTAGATTTGTTTTCCACTAGATACAATTGTATTCAACTAATTAACTAATATTTGACACACAGATGGGCAGGCCGTACATAATCCCCAATGCTATCGTCCTTTCTGTGTGAGAACTCATATTTCCCAAAAGAAAAATACAGAAGAATTCAGCAGAAGGCCTTTTCAGTTGTTAAATAGACATTTTTTATCGAAAGCAAACAGAAGGTTATCTATCTGTGCTTCAGACCAGCTCAGAAGTGACTATATGAATGCCGAGGCAGCATCTGCTGAGTCTCTTAATCATGAATTTTTTCCACCAGCACCTGATGCTGGTGCAGGTCTACTCAGTTCACATGATATCATTAGTAATGGAACCGTGCAGTCCAGGCCTAAAATGTTTAAAAACAGATTCTTAAATTTTGTACGATTGGGTTCAGTCCTCAATAATGCTGCTGAATCTTTTTTCAAGAGTGAGATACGGCGGAGGCTTTTTGTGACAGCTGCATTACTTGTCGTTAGTCGTGTTGGGTATTTCATTCCTCTGCCAGGGTTTGATAGAAGGTTGATACCTGAGGACTACCTCAGCTTTGTCTCAGGATCAGTTGGTAAGATATATTTATCTGTGGAGCCTACCTTTGCTTATGCATAAGAATTAATTACCAGCATTTGAAATTGAATTCCCTTGCATTTGTTAAATATTTTTTTAGTTATATTAGTATTAGTGTTTTAACTTTTAAGTATCATTTGTAAGCCGCGTCTTGGGCTTTATCAGGTTCTTGTTCTGCGGTTGTGAACTGTAAATAGGCCAATTGCTTGCTTTCACTCCTATTTGCCATCATCTTTGTAATTCTTGATAAGTAAAATTATATAGAGAAAATAAGGACCATGATGATTTCTGTCCATCAACAAATTGGTCATGAGATGCTCGCCATGAAGTTGCAACAGTGATGTAACCTCTGTTATGACTTGGATTAATAATATCCGGAATACTCATTGAGTTTTCGCGTTGTTTTGTGATCTTTCTTCCAAATGAACCAATGTTGATTCAGTGCAAACAGTTAAAAGTTAAAATAAACTTGTTTGCTAGTTTCTTTCATGATAAATCACAGCATAATGTAAAAAGGGATAGCAACAGAATTGGTGGCAAAGATGGCAATGTTCATATCATAAGAAGATAGGCTACACTTAGCCAAGAGGCCGAGACAGGTATAATTATCATATAATGAGGAAATGTGATTCCACTATTCTCGTCCGCTTTTTCCATGTTCCATCGCATATCCTTTATCTTCTTGATTTTTATGAAGATTCATTAGGTGTCCCACTGGATGTCAAAATTTAAGAATAGTAGTTGATCTTTGGGTGATTTTGGAAAATACTAAAGATGGAAGTGATACTGTAGCAATTGTAAGGGACAAATTTACAGAGCTTGCGGTGTTTTTTTTTTTTTTGGGGGGGGTGGTGGGTGGTGGGTGGGGAGCACAGGTTTCCACAGTTTTACACTCACTGCCTACATTATTTGCTTGCCTTGGTAAATTAAGATGGCCGTTATATTTGTTTGCTATTGGTTATATGTCATGTAATTCATGCTGTAGATGATTGATGGGCTATTTTTTTAAACTCTCACTTTCTCTTTGATTCATAATATACCATTGCTGTTCTTGTTCTTGTCTGCGTAAAGGTGCTTTATACCAGTCCTCGTGTTGCACCCCTTTTTAAAAAAAAAAAAAAGCCGTCCCCTTTATTCCCTTCCTTCTATTTAGAAAATCACTATGCATTGCTTTTGGCAGATGAACTTGGTGATTTCGCACCAGAACTTAAGCTTTCTCTTTTTCAACTTGGAATCAGTCCTCAGATTGCAGCATCAATTCTTATGCAGGTTTTCTGCTTTTCTACTATGAAACTTGTGTTTTTTGAATGTTAATTACTAAATACAAATTATTTGTAATTCTCGTTAGTGATTCCATGTTTTAATGTTCTTTATGGCACCCCTTTAGTGTTGTACATAAGCTGTCATTTGACAATTACTTGGTGATGAGTTGTGATTTTCATTAGTGAATCCAAGTTTTAATGTTCTTTATGGCATCCTTATTGATGTGTTATACTTCTCTGCAATGAATCCATGTTTTTGTTGATTTTTTAGGGCATCCTTTTAGCATTGTACATTAGCTGCAATTTGGATGTGAAGAGTTTTATGATTCACATTTCATGGAATTAGTACAATATGTATGGTAGTGATCTATTTTCCATACTGCTTTCAATACATTATAGTGGACTTTGAGGGCCCTTTTAGACAAGAATCATCTTTGTTTCTCTTTTGGCTCAGGCTCAACATAGGATTACACTGGTTGGTTGTTTATTCCCATGCATTTACTTTAATCGAGACGCAAAATGCATTGCAATTTCAAGACACAATCTCTGTTATTTTTTTAATGGGACGGGTAAGCTAAAATATGTTTGCATTTAGCCATAAAATTCGCTAGTATGTGTAAAGCAAAGGAAATATTATATAATGATCTCTCATATATTTGTGTCTTGTTTGGCTTTTTTCAGGCAGTGGGTTAAATTTTATGATTCTTTGAAAGAATAATACAAACTGAATGAATTGTGCCAAAGTTCTCCATCCTTGTGCATTATGATTGACCTAGATTGTCCTATGTTTATTATTTCTTTTATCCAGTATTGAACTTGCCTTTTTCAACGACTGTTGCCATAAATTATCTGTTCAGGTACTTTCTCATGTTGTTCCTTCCTTGGTGAAGCTGCGGAAAGAAGGCTTAGATGGTCACGAGAAGATTAAGAGTTATATGTGTGTGTAGTTATGCCTCTCAAGCAGTGAGACGAGTCCTTGATAATTTGTTTTGTATTCCATTCGATTATTGTTATGGTCATCACATACGCAAGGTTACAAGCCCAATGATTTGTGGATCTATCTCAGATGGTGGATTTCGTTTGGTTTTGCAATAGTGGAGGCCCTGACTCTTGCTTGTTACTCACTTCCATATTCCATATATGCAGCTAGTCACAGGTAATTTTGATGCAATAGCAATGGTCATGGAAACAATACAACCAATGCTCCCTTCATAAGCGTAAATAGGTGAATGATTTTTGGGTGTACAACTTGTATAAATGGATGGGAAGTATGTGTTCCAGTCTGCAAATGTTGAGTAAGTATTGCATCCAGATGTGAGTTTCTTGGCTGTCAATGTGCGACCATGTTATTCACTTTCAATTTTCCTTGTCACATAAACTTGTGCATTGCAATGTTGATAATATATAGTGTTGGTGTCAAATGGGATCTTGCTTTTAATTTTTGTGTTTAAGAAAATAATCTCCTTCAGCTGCATGATTCTTGTTCCATTCCTTTCGTGGAGGGAATGGGTTTGATGGTGCTTTGATTGTCAAATCCATTGGTTCCCTTGGTAATTCAATAAACAGAAATTTTGATTAGGTCCTCTTATGCTGGATACTGTGTTGTATTATTTCTTGAGTCAATGACTGATTTATTGATTGAAACATTTGAGATATGATTACTCTTGGTCATTGAATACCTGTTTACCCACCACCACAGCCAGTTATACTCTTCTTTTATTTATCTTTTTTATATGCCTTTATGCTTGCTAGATAGATTTGGCAAATTGTCTTGCTAATCTGAATTGATTTGATGCATTTCCCAATATTCATTCATAAAATTGGTGAATTATACTGCAAAATCATTATTTTTGAGAGATTTCCTTTGTCGTGATATGTATCACTGTTTGCAGGGTAAAGCATGTGATGGTCACAACTTCTCTATTGGTGTGTGGTGCAATGACTATGACATGGATCTGTGACAAGATATCAGAGGCTGGATTTGGTATTATTTTGGACATGTTTCATTGTCTTGGTTTTTTATTCTTGTTGTGATTGTTTTTCCTTGACTACCTTGATGACCTTAGTTGTTTCAATGGTTCACATGTTGTCTATTCAGCCAGTTTGTCTAGTCTGGCATTTGCTTTTTGAATTGGCGCCGTTGCAGTTGTTCACTGTTTGGTATTAGTCCCATAGAGTCGGGCCATGCTTTTTATATGCATAAATGATTCTTGTTCCTAATTCAAAGAAAAGAATTCTGATCAGGGTTTTGAAAATCGGCCGTTATGGTGCGTAACGGTAACAATGAGCTCCGATCCCGTTACACTCCGCTATAGCGGGTAGAATAAATTTCACCCCCGTAACGGCCGTTACGGCACCGAAACGGGATGTAATGGGCGTTATGAGAGCGTTACAGTCCGTTACACCGCCAAAACAACCTATTTTTAAGCTTTTACTGCTCATCCATGGAGATTTTATGGCCGGAAGAGATGACCGGCTAAAAAGACTGTGAGTGAAGTTTTGTATGTTGAGAAATGACAGGCTGTCCTGGGTTGGCAGACTTTTGGAAAGGGAAAAATCAAGTGCACAATATTCTTTCTACAACTTATATAATGAATGGTTGCTATTCATTATCAACAAATTTAGTTCATGAATAGATGCAAGTGTCATGTTATTTAATAATGTGAAGAAGTGGGTTTAAATAGATTAAAAATTTGTAGGTGGTGGGGTCCTTCTTGTACGAATTTGCCAACTAATAATTTTTATTTACAATTGCAATTTTTTTTTATTTTATCCCAATGATCTAAATCTATTTTGACTACTTATTTTGAATACAATTTTTAAATAAATTGCTTAAACTAATTTTCTTTCATTTGCTCTAAATTTGGATTAATTAAGCAATTTAGCATATCAAAATCATGAATATAATAAAAAATTATTATAAATTACAAAAAAACTGAATTTATTTTATTTTGGTCCAAATATATTGAAAATTTTGATTTTTGCTGGTAGTTGTGAATAAATTAACAAAATTCACGACTTCGATTTCCGTTACTGTTACGTAACGCCCGTTACACCATTACCAATACCGTTACATCACCCGTTACCGTTATTCAAAACCATGATTTTGATCTAGGTCCATGGACTATACTTTCAGAATTCTCCACCCAAAATAATGTGAAACAAAACCCCCAAAAGGGAAGAAAGATCACGCACACCAGAAAACATATATGGAAGTCTTATTCATGAAGTCAGTCTAGATAAATTATAATCAATGGAATCATCAATGAGTAGTTTGTTTTGTAAGATTCTACGGTGGCGAAGGAATATGTTTGTGCAGACTTTTGTTCTTTTGTTTTTGTATTCATCTCATGCATTTTCAATAAGAGGTTTTATTGCCCAGCCAAAGAAAAAAAAGCTAGAGAGTCTCTCTATCTTGAAAGTGCATACTCTTCGCTTTCTCTCATTCAAGGGCTTGTTTTTTATTTTTATTTTTATCTTTTTCTTTGCTTGAACCCCGGGCTAGCGATGCATGGTCGACATTAAATGGTTTGCTTCGAGTTAGTGTCTCTGGGTCTACATAAATGTAATAAATGCGAATGCTATTTTCAGAGAGAAGAAAGAAGGGTTTAGGTGCATGTCAAACTATTTGCAGGTTTTCAGGGTTTTTCCCCAAAAATAGGTTTCGAAAAGCTTTGCCAAATGGGTTTTGTCATTGTTTTCTTTCTTTGGTTTTCAAAGATACAAAATAGATCCCAAAAACTCCAAAGGCCTTAGAAGTCCTGTGCATTACCTCCATATGATTTTGGAAGATTATGTTGATGATACAGTTTCTTTTGAATGTTGACCAAGCACATTTTTGCCTCGATGGACTTTTTAAATGAAGGGTTGAAATTGTTGCATAATCACTTACTTTCGTGCACTGCCAGGCATAACTTTCTAAGATCAGTTGATGATTACATGCATTTAGGACTTTAATCGAACTGCAAATGCCTGACTTTCTCTAGTAAATCATTTATAAATGCATGTTTTGTCATATCTGGTGTTTCTTTCTTCATCTCTGATTACTAATGCATGGTTCAGGTCAAGGATCATCTTTGATTATATGTGTGGGAATTTTGACTGGCTACACGGATACGCTATACAAGATGTTATCTCAACTCTCAGGTGGGTGGAGAAAAAAAACACATCTTAGCTTCATGTGTTTTTATGTTCGTTGTAATTTTTAGGTGTTCTTTTTCTCTTTGTAAGTATGCCGTGGATGTTAAGACTAGCATTATATTCTGAGCATCTCATTTACCTGAAGAGATGAGCTTCGAGGTTGGGGGTACCATGATATACTGACTTTTCACTAAGTTGCGCTCATTTGAACTTTTTATCTGTAACTCCATTGGTCAATCCTGTGGCTTCTTGGACAGGGAAGTGCTGAATAAGTGATGCAGAACAGGAGAGAGATTCTTTGTGTGGCATTTGAGAGTTATAATTTTGTTACTATGCTATGGACGAAGTTAATGTACTCTGTCATGGGCTTTTAAGTTGCAAATATTTATAAAATCTCCACTAGTCTTTCAGCGTATAATTGTTTAAAAGGTTTTACTAGTAAGCCTTGAACATCATTATTGCTAAATAAGATAGTACTTCAAAACTGGTAAACATGTGCTGACATTGGCTCTGGACGACATTAAAGAAAAATATGGCAGACATGAATGACATGAGTTTCTTGGAAAGTTTATGGAATCCAAAATATTGGAAATTTAGTTTCCACATCCATAGGAGGGCTCGTTTGTTAGTGTTTTAATGCTTATGCAGACTGAAAATGAATGTATTGTTAAGCTCAATACAAGCCCTTCACACAGTTTGAACAATTGGTTAAAAGTTTAACTTTCTCAGAATACGTGCTTAGCAATTTGTTATATGTCCTCATTTGTTATTAACTGTTTCTGTGCTTTCTACCCTATTGCAGGAAGTGCTTTGAATTGGTGGCCTTATGTACTTGCAGTATTAGGTGTTTTCACTATAGTAACTATGTGGGCAGTTGTTGTAACCGAGGGTTGCAGGAAAATCAAGCTGCAGTACTATGGTTTCAAACTTGCTTCTGCTGCGAGGTGTTCCTCTTTGCTTTCTAGATGATTTGAGTGTTTCCCCTTCCCCCACCCTTGCCTCTCTCTTGACAAAACTTTGTATTTGGTAGACTGCAGTTTGTGTCTTGGAATTGAAATTCAATGAGGTCTGGTGTGAAGTTTGACCTAATGGGGCATCCAATCCCATTGGAAAGGATTGCGTTTGACTTTTGTGATATAGCTTTAGTTGCTCAAACATTGGCAGCAAACTGTAAAAAATTTGGGAACAGTTTGTTGGAATGGTATTCCTAATTAGCAATATTATGTGTCCACGAATGGAGAATGCTTGTTAGTGGATGGAGCAACCACTCACCCCTTGGTCAAGTAGCTTGAAACAATGAGTGAGTGTTTGCATCATTTCATCACCTGTGGTCGTGTTGAGTTGTCAGGAGAGGGCAAGAGGAAATCTGGAATAAGTTAAATAATCGATCATTGTGTGTCACACTTTCATCTAAGTACAGCAACCAAAATCAGTCCCTTGAAAGGACTGTGCTTTATTTATTATTGGCACACTATTTGCACACCACATTTGTGGGTGATACGAAGTTCTTCTACCAGGTGAGGAGCGAAGTATTGTCCTTTGTATTTTATGAAATCAATTTGTTTGCCCTAACATAACTACTTCTGGGTAAATGTGATGTGCGACATTTGTGCTAACAGCTGAGTTTCTATGTTTTGGACAGAGAGCACTCCCCAGTTACCGAGGTAGAGCCATACATTCCATTTAATATAAATCCATCGGGAATGCAGCCTGTTCTTACTACCACGTATCTCTTGGCGTTTCCCAGCATCATTGCAAGGTTATTTAACTCAACTGGGTTCATGTCGATATCTTGAGTACAGGATCCACTTTCTATTTCTAATCCTACAGGCTATTCAGAAGCTCCTAGTGGCACTAATCACCTGCCTGTGGGGTTTTCAACTGTAGGGCAGGGCTCATCTTTAAAAGCCAAGACCCCCCCCCCCCCCCCCCTCCACAAAGAGAGAAAAAAAAAAAGTATAAGGGATGAGAAGCATACTACATGGGGTCTGCTCCTCATTTTTGTTTTTGAGGCCATTTGGATAGTAGAACTCTCCACACCTGTTGATTGGTGTGGTTAAGGCAAGGTGGGCTCATCCTAACTTATATGTGCCCGCCATGAAGATGACTCTGGACTATTTCTTGCCTGCTTAGCAATAGGATGTTCTGGCTTCATTCTTGTCCTGCATGTGCGAGTCAGCAGATTTGGTTATTTAAGTGACTGCATGGCTAATTTTCCCTGAAGTTACTGGTTAGCATTGTTTTATGCAGAATTTCTTTCCTCCATAACTTTCTAATATAAAGAATTGTTGGCAGTCTCATTGGCTCGCGTTTTTGGGAACACGTGAGAGACGTACTGAACCCTGGAACTTCTCTCGGTGCTGAGCCATGGGTTTACTATACAATTTATGCATTCTTTGTATTTCTTTTCAACATATTTGACATTGTAAGTATTTTCTTGACCTACAATTGATTTCTACGTAAATTTGTGCTGCTTGATTTAGGTCTTGCAATTCTTGTGTCTGTTATCATTCTCACATGATCATATTTTCCTTTTGGTTATCATCGATCAATTCCTTATTGTATTATATTGCATCTTGATAATTACACTGTTCTTGCTTCAATCTGCTCCAGATAATTTGCATTGATGTTTCATAATTTATTTTTTGGGGAGTGGTCATATATTAAGATATTAAATGCATTGAATAGTTTGTGTGGCACTTGGAAATTTGAAAAAAAAATAAAAGCATCGATAGACCTAGAAGTCTGTTCAAATTGTGGGTGATGAGTAAATTTTTTTCGTTGACCTTATTTGGCCTGGTGTTGTAAGTATGGCCATGTTTATGGTATGCTGGGTTATGCATTAATGAATTTTGTTTCGCTGAATCTTTCCAGAACCCCTCATTTAGGTCATTGAGGCTTAATGTGTCCTGATAGATTGTTGGGTTGCTAGGAAATATTGCATCCATGACTATAACTTGGTTATGCTTAAATTGCGGATGGATGATTGACAACACAAGAAACGTACATCAGAAAAGGGGTGCAGTGGGAATGGATTAGATGATGAAGTCATTTGAGATATTCTGGCTATGTAAATTGTAAACTGAAATGGAGACCAATGGGTACTCCTTTTGAGGAGTGTTATTGTCGGAGTAAATGCACCACAAACATAAGGAAATGGCTCGACTTACTCGCATATTATTTAGCAGAAGATCTGGATTTTTCAATATTGCTATTTTAGAGGCAAAAATTGAGATATTTACAAGTGTATGGTGACTATTCAAGAGGTAATGTGGTATACCTGATTTTTTTCTTCTATTAACCGGCACATGCATATTTAGGCCAACATGCCAAAGGAAATTGCTGATTACTTAAACAAAATGGGTGCCAGAATACCAAGCATAAAGCCTGGAAAGGCCACCATTGAATATTTGACGAGGATCCAAGCTTCGACACGTTTTTGGGGTATATGTCTATCTAAATGTTTTAACTAACTAAATCCAATATTGGCGCCATTCTTCACCCCCTATTTGTTTGCTTGCACTCTCTCTCTCCCTCTCCACTGTATCGTGGCAAATCATGCAGGTGGATTGCTGTTAAGTATTTTGGCCACTACATCTACTGTTCTGGATCATTATTTACGCCGCATCAATGAGGGATTTGCAATAGGGTTTACATCTGTTCTGATCATTGTAAGTGTACTACTGTCATGTCTTGGTTTTCTAATTGTATTCCTACCACTCCATCACATTTTACATTTTTTCCTAGGGACGTGATGATGTGTTTTGTCTAGTATGATCCATTAAATGTTGAATTGCCTGTTTTTTGTTTTTTATACATACCTCCATACAGGAATTAGATTGGTTGAGTTATATTATGCAAGCCCAACTCTTCTGTTTCCATGTAAAACAACTTTTCCCCCTGGCTAGCTAAAGTAAAGCAGTTTATGGATAATGTTTTGAGCATCATTCTAGAGTTTAATTGCTCGTGAATTCCTAAAATTTTGGAAAATTTAAATAATAAGTGATTTAAGTTTTGTTTTTACGAACCAATTTCGGCATATACAGTCATGATTTGCATGACTAGGGAATGTAGTTGTAGTTATGTAACCTTTTGAATATTTGCATATGCATACACCAAGTGTGAGTGCTCACACACACACTGTGCAATGCACATCATTCTTAGCATGGAAAATTTCAAAGCTTTGACCTAATTGCTGAGAATAAAAAGGAATGTGGTTTTATTTATATAAAATTTAAATAAAACTCCCGATGTAATACATGTTCTGTCGAGGAACCAATGGTGTGCTTCGAGAAAAAGAGATGTCTTCAGCTTCTAAGAAATGTGAATATGATGAATTTTGTTCCTCGTGTGTAATAAGTATGCACTATCTATGTCTTGCTGTGTCATACCATCCTTGAGTAGTTTGTGCAATAGGATGGTCTATCAGGCAGAAAATTTGTGTTTATAATGATTTCATCTGTGCATTGTGGAGCTGAACTTGGAGACCAAGCTGGTGCTCAGCTATTTTTCTCCCCATCTTTTTTGCCCTGATGGTTGGGTACATATTTTTTTGGTGAATTTTAATCATTTCGGCAATCTAATTGCAGTTCCTAGTTGATTTTCAAACCTAATCACTAGCATACCTTCCTTGAGCAACTGATTTTCTCCCATCAACTGCCACCCTACCAAACCAGCGTTGTTGTCTAACTTGAGCAACTCTATAAATTTTATTTCAAATGCTTCCCTAGTCACGGTGTGGTACAAAGAGCCACCTCACCTATCATGTCAATCTGATAGTTTTGCACCTTGAGTTACAGTTTGTATGATATAGAAAATAGATTTATGCACTCCCAAGGTCCTGGAACAAAGGTAGATCATATTTTCTGCCTGGAATTTAGGTTGGACAAATTTTGTTTTCGTAATATATACCTTCCTTCTTCAACCCCACCCCATTCAAGAAAAAAAAGGAGAAAAGAATGAATCAGATGTCAAGTTACAGAAGAATCATCAGTACCACTTCATATCATTTCTACTTTACTGTAATAATCTTGAGTTTTGACTTTTTTGTGGTACAGGTGGGTTCCATCATTGAATTGAGAAGATCATATCAAGCTTATAACGTGATGCCAAGTTTAAGCAAAGCTTTAAGGCGATATGGTGTATAACATCTGATGAGAGAGCACGGTTTGTTTTCTTTATGGTGATTTCACTTCTAACAGTATAAGGGTGTAATTAGGTATATTTTCTGATGCATGCTTCTCCTAATCGATTTTTGCATTATGTTGTTTTCAGGAATTCTCAGTTGGACTAATTGTTTCGTTGTTGTCAAGATGTCTCCTAAAAACTAAAATATGGTCCTCTTGACATCAGGATCTCGTTTCTCAGCAAGAGCTTGAGATTTAGGGGAGTGCAATTATAGCCACTACAAACATAATGCTATATTAGTCCATTCTATCGGTGCAAAATCATGTTTAATAGCCAGTACAAAGAGAGATTTTGTTTCATAATCAGCAATTAGGGAGTGCGGATTGTTATTACACAAGCTGATGTTCTACTAATAACCAATTTTGAAATAGTGGAATCCCCCTTAGAAACTGCAAAGTGATGTAGTTAGAGTGTGCGGCAGGTGTTATTGTTGCAGAAGCCTGTCATTTGGCGCTATTTTTGTTTGGTTATGACCCGAGCAATCATCCATAAAAGACATGGCTTCATGGCCAGTAGTGGCATCAATCAGAGCCCGAAGAAGATATTAGACATAGTAGTTCTTTAGTGTCTGATTGCACTAAGTTTATATTACCAGATCATTTGGATGAGATGATTCACCATTGTTCTGTGATGGCATTCCAGAAAGAAAACTCAACCAATAACGGATCATCAACCATTAATGAGGGATGAATATATTTGTATACAATGGGCATTCTTTGTAGATGATTTGTTAAGAAAATAATTGAATAGTAAATATATTGGAGGGGATTTTACTCCAATATATATAATAGATTCAACTTGAAAATTCATAAGAGATGATGAAAAGTGTATTATTTGAATCTTCAAATGAATTAGAAAAATCATTCATGATTTTATATTGAATCAATTTGTATTCTTTTTTTTATTTAAGAAAAACACATAATATTACCCCCTATATGAAAAATAGGGTATACTTTACTTTGGGAGGAAATTTTTTTGGTTGATTTTTTCAGGAAAGAAGACAAATAAAAAGGTTTTGGGATTTACTAGGTAAAAAATTACGTAGCGTAAATATTGATATTTTACTCTTTGACAAATCATATCAAGTGGAATAATTATATAAAAATTGGTCTTTGTGGATGATCCACAATTGCTTTGCGCTTTTCTTCTTTCTTCTCGGGCTTAGTTCCCGAGGTGAGGAGATCAGGTTTTGTTCCAATTCCACTCCAAAGAAAGGAAGAAATAGAGAGAAAAAAAAATAGTTGAGGGGTATATTTCATAAATAGTAAATATAATTCTCTTGAGGCTAATCACCCTTATTTTCCATGAACATGCTTTATCTCAGGTAGGAGTGTTAAACGTGTCGGGTTAAATAATTACGTGTTGGATTAAACGGGTGACGAGTGAAAAATATATAAACTCATATACGACACATTTAATAAATGGATAAAAAATCTCAACATGAACACGACCCGTTTAATAAACAAGTAACACGACACGACTTGTTTAACTCGTTTAATTTTAAAAAAATTATATCAACAAATTTTAATACTTCACTTTTTGTAATAACAATTGTATTTACTTCAAAAAAAATAAATTTTTAGCCAAATATCACAAAAATAAGACTTAAAGGCTTAAAAAAAAAAGCAAGAGATCATTGCTTTTTATAGGCAATCAGCCCTCCCCATCTCTCCTTATTTTTTAATGTGGGGCAAAAATAAAATGCATTAGTTTGCCTTTGTCTCTGAAGTGCTTCGTATCTCATCTCATTTGTCTTTGAACTACTAACTTACCTTTTTTTTTATTGATTTCTTTACTTCTTCTTTTCTTGTTAATTTTTTAAAATAATTATTAATTTATTATTATATTAATTTTATTTAAACGGATAAACATGTGATAAATGGTTTGACAGCTCTTACCCGGACACGATCCGTTTATTAACTTTGTTTGACGTGTCAACCTGTTTATTACTCAAACCCGTTAAAATCTCATCCAAACTTACTTAATTCGTATCGATTAATCGTGTCGTATTAGATTTTGATAATCCTAATCTCAGCACATGCCACAGTGGCTGCCTCAAACTAAAGAATGTAGATGACGCAAATTTAAACACTCCGAAGTGTAAAAAAGAACAGCAAGTATAGCTTAGTTCTAGTTAATGTCGTACTTCACAAATAGCAGATAGCTTAGTTCTAGTTAGCCTATCCTCCTCGACATATTTGTTCCAGTTTATGATGCCACTATTCTTGTCCCCAAACATGATCTTCCCGGCCTTCTGATTTCAAATCGCCATCGCAGACTTCCTCTCTCTCTCTCTCTCTCTCTCTCTCTCTTTATTGCAAAGCCAGCTTGAAGATTTGCAGACGATGGAAGGAGAAGGAAAATCGGAGATGGAATACACGGACATCGATACTTCCGCAGATTCTATAGACAGTTCTGTGATATTCCACGTCGTCACGGACATCCTAGGGTTCGTACTCTACATGCACCAGCAAATCCCTTCGTAAGTCATTTTTATGAAATTTGTAAATTTTTCCAAGTATTTTCCGTTACGATAAATGCATATCGTGTGCAATTAAATTCGATCAAACTATACGGTCTGACTTGGTTCAATACGAGTGGTTTGTGCTCAAAGTCTGCTCAACGGCCAAGTATAGCTGCCAAAAAGATAATCGATTACTTTCTACTTTGAATCTCCCAATGAAACTAGATCTTCTGGTTAAATAAGATTAGTATAGAGTTGTATGATTTGAGGTCCTGAATTTGTTGATGTTCGTTTGCTAATGGTCTATGCATCATTTATTTGTTTGTTATTAGCAGCATCTTGCAGGATTTGAGTCTTGAATATGAATCACTGCGAGCAGAGTATAAGGATTTGGTATGTTAACCAAGTGAAGGTACTAGTAGCTTTTGATTATAGCATTTGGGTGTTAATTTTGGCAAAGTAAGGATTTTTGGTTTTAGGACACAGTTCTTGCACAATCAGAAGTAAAGGTGTCCATAAGGCGAGAACATGTTGGAAGAAAGAGAGAGGTCAAACAAGGGATAAGAAGACTTGACAATTTGATGAATTCGGTTTCTAGTCTCAGAACTGCTCTTCAGGTTACGATAAGTGAAGTTCCACATATCGAGCAAGCTATGTTGGTCCTTGGAGCCAGTCCTTTACGGCCTCAACAAGTTTATGAGTTGTTCTTTTCCCATGGAAGGGTTGTTCTTGGAGGCACTTGTGATTTTACGAAGAACAAAGCAACAGAAGGGCTTTCAAGAAAGGTCTCTCACCTAACTTTAGTTCTTGATTAGATTGCATATCCATTGGCACGTGTAATTTTTGTTTTGGAACAGGCTATTCGAGCACTGATCTCAAAGGGTGCAGGATCTGATTCTTATGCCGGTAACTGAATAGGCATTTTTCTTACTCTAGAGGTAGTTTAGCAACTGAGATTGCAGCAATTTGAAAGCCTGTTTTGATAGTGTGTATTGATGATGCCTTTAGGCCCTACCAAGTTGTTCCTATTGGTTAAAGCTCCCTCTTCTTTCAATCTGCCTCTGCATTTTCTTCCCAAGCGGGACTTCAGATACAGCAAAAAGGTAACATTTGATATAGTTGTGCAGGCATCCATGCACATCATTAGACTAATTCCGTGATTGAGATTTGCATTGGTTGATTCTCACTGTTTTGATATCTTTTATCCAATCTAAGATTGTATGGCAGTCATATTGATCAGTGGTAGTGTATCATTCAGGTTGAACATTGCATGAACTTGGGTTTGGAGTGTCTGCATGTTGTAGTTTTGAAGTGATTCCTCAGTTGAGATCTTCTGTTTGAGGGTCCCATGCTGCCTCATCATTTGTTATCTGCACTTTTGTTTTTGCTGTGTTTGTGTAAACAATCCGTAATATCATTTTGAGCATCCTATTGGATAGGAATGTTCACATGGGCAAAATTTATCCATGAACTAGTGTGATTTCTTTGTTCAATTCTTGCATTTCTTTTATCTGATTCCGATTTATAATTGGGGGCTTCCTTATAAACTCCCCTAATCACTATTCGAAAGCATTCTGTGTTCCATGCTCTCCTTCAGGGGCAGAATGGAAAGACTGGAGGTGAACACATGGTTCACTTTTCTCTGTATATGCCCAAAAGGACTGCATTTTACCTTCATTTCATTTTCTGTGGCAGGTAGTGCCTTTCAGATTACGATTCAAGTGCCGAACCCAAGATCCAGAATTGGGCACTCAACATTCTGAATCTCAATCTCTGACCTCTATCCATCCGAGGGATTCTACTTCGAACGATTTGATGTGGTATCAAAATTTTTAAGTCCTAAAGTAATGGTATCTTATCTGTCATTTTTTTGTTGCATAGTGACGAATAGTATTCTGCTTGTTTCTTTTTGACATTGGATTTATCATTAGTTGCTCATCTGATATCTGTTCCCTTTCCCAGGTTTCAATGTAGGCATATAATCAAGGGCTTCGCTTGCAGGACATCACCAACAGAAGAGTGACAAGTTCTCTTACAATCTTCAGGTTCTGACATAGACAAGTTTGTCATATTGTTTGATACCATAGTGCAGTTTTATTAGCGTTGTCACTTATTGCATTCATCTACAACGACTGTCCTACTTCATCTCAACCCGTTTTCTGCGTTCTCTGATTAGCTTTAATTCTTTGTTTTATCACTTTGGCCTTGATATATTTGATCTCCAATGAGTGAAGCATCCCGGATCGTTGCATGGTAATGGCTGTTTTCCTTCTGTTCGGAGTGTTGTAGCACTCGTTTTATCATGAACTTAATTAGTTTCCATCTCCTGAGAACACAAGTGTAGTCACATTTTCTATAGCCGTTTCTTATTTTCATTCATATTGGCAGCTTCTAGTTCCATTACATCACCCTTCTGTACATAGCGTACAGCAAATAGAAGTGTCAGAGTCAGAGGGCCACCCCGACCAGACAAAGGGTAATTTCTCTTCCTTGACATGACCGGTAACAAAAGCAGTGATCAGATTGGTGAAGTCAAATAATAAAATTATTTGAATTTAATTTGTTTACCCAATTTTCTGTATTCTTATTGCTAATAAATGACACGGATGAATTAGATAAACAAATTATGTAGTAATAGCACTACTCGAATGGAGATAAAAAACCAGTTTCGAGGGGGTGAAAACCTCTTGTGATTCAATTCATATGGTCATGCCTAACTTTATCTATATTTATTCATGTTATTAATTTCATATTTAATGATTTATGATACTCATTTTTGTAAGACTATGTTTCTATTCACCCATTTAGACATAAGTAAGGGAAAACAGGCAAAGGATATGGGTATTGGGTCAAGTCCAGCTTTGTTGATTACAGTGAATCTGAGTGGGTGGAAATATATCCTTTGCCTGTTTTTGGCCTATTCTGTCGGACATCTAAACTGAAAATGTAAAACTTATGCATCTTTTGATAACTTTTTATTAGTTAAAATTGTTTCAAAATTTTAATATATTATTATTATTATTATTATTATTATTACTACTACTAATAAATGTTAGCATTTACGAAATTTTGTTGATTTCCTATTTTATCCCTAAATATTATATAATAAAGTCAATTATACCCACATATCTACTTTCATCTAATTTTTATTTTTTACTCCTACTTGCATGTTCAAAAAAAAAAAAAAAACTCCTATTTGATTTTCAACTTGTTTTGGACTCTTTTATAAGGACTTTTGAACTCTTTTATTAAGAATACAGTTATATCCAATTTGCTACCATATGAAGAAATAAAGTTATGATAAATTATTGTACACATGTAGTTATCAAATTGAATTTCACGATCAAATATTTGTTATATTTTATGTTTTAGTATGCAATAATATAATAATATTATTATAAGCGATCTAATTAATCTATTTAACAAAATAAAAATTAATAATTCTATAATATAATTAAATGTGTAAATACCTAATAAAATTAGAAAGATATCTAAATAAATAATAGATTAGGTAATCAAATAACTATAGGATAAATTAATAATTAAAATATGAATTAATAATTAGACACCTAATTTATTATTCAATTTAATTACACATAATTTATATCTTATATAAAAAATATTATTTAACTTTATTTATGTGCAACGCAAGTCGTTCATTACTAATTTCATTAAAAGGGAGAAGGACATAGAATAAGACTTTCTTCAATATATATATATATCTATATAATAAAATAGTTTACAATTTAAATTTCAAAAGATAAACAAAATGAATTTTATTTTTTGCGGTTCAGATCGTTTTAAATTTTATTTTAAAGTTAATCTAATGACTAATATTAATACTCTAAATTTAATAGGAAAAATAAGATTCTAAATGTGTGTTTAGAGTGACTTTTTAAAAGTATTTATATAAATTATTTCTCTTAAATACTTAAAAAAAAAAATAGTGTTTGAAATTGTTCTACTACCGTCACTGCCACCGCCACCACCGCCTTCACCACCACCACTGCTACCACCACTATCACTGTCGCTGCAACTGCCACTGACACTGCCATCACCACCACTGCCATCGCCGCTGCCACCACTGTCATTGTCATCCACCACAACTATTATCGTCTTCTATCACCACCACTATCGCCTACAATCTCTCACCCCCACTACAATTAATGTTTAAATTTATTGATCTTTTCTCTATATTTGTGATTTGATTTTGGATATGAATACAAATATGTTTATTATTTATTATTTTTTTATTACTTTGTACCTTTAGACACAGACAATAGTGCATATATATATTGCAAAAAATTGAAAACAAAAGTATTCATCTTAGTGTATAAAAATGAGTTTGCATGTGTATTCGTGTACGATTAAGATTGGAGCAAGGGAACAAAGACAGACAGAGAAAAAAAAAATCACAAAACAAAAATGTAAAAAGAACCAAAATTTTATTTAAAAAAAGACTACAAAACAAGAGCCACTTTCTCACATAAAATAAGCACTAATGTACTTTTCAGTGATACAAACAAACAGATCAAAAAACAGAAAACATAAGACATTGGCCCATGATATCTTCATCTTCACCCTTCCGAAGAAGAGGGATAACAACCTTGTATAAGTATTGGTAGACCCATTAAAAAATGAGATAAAAAATAAAGCCTATATGATGTTTTTAAATGAATAAAAGTGAGATAAAAAAATATAATTATTTCTGTTTTACGTCATTTAGTTCTTGTTTTTACTCTATTTTTTGGTTAGTCTAGCATTTCTGCTCTATAAGTTGGCCAAATACATTCTAAAGTTCTAACTTTTAGAGACTATTCTGGGGATGATCAAACTGATACTTTTTTATTTGATGGAGTTTAATGCAGGGGTGGCCTAAGATATTTTGGGGCATAAAGCGAAAACAATAAATTGAGTTTTTTTTTTTAATTTGAGAGGAGGTAGCTATGCTTGAATCATCAATCTTAGGGTCAGTCCATTTGGGCAAAACCACTTTGGTACTCAAAGCTTGATTTTAATTTTTAATTTTTAATATTAATATCAATTTTTTTTAAAATAAAAATATTAATTAAATTTTTATATTTAAACTTTTGTTATTATAGTTGAACTTGACTTTGAAGGAGAGAGAGAGAGAGAGAGAGAGAGAGAGAGAGAGAGATGATTAAAAAATTATTATGGTAAATTTTAACTTGGCTTTTTTTTAGGGTTAAGACTTAAAACTTGATTTTTAATAGCTTTAGTTTACTATTAGCTATCTTGTTTTTATAATTAATTAGGCTAGAGTTTCTTCTTTGGTGTGTAAACTAATTTTAGTTTTACCAAATTTTTAGTATAAAAAAAAGTCTTTCGTATTTTGGAAAAGGAAAATGCTACATAACTTAAATGAAACTTAAAAATTAAAACTCAAATAAATATCATTTTTTGGATGAGTGTGAGATGAGTGGGTACCACTGAAAAAATTGATAGAATTCACTCATCTAAGCGATGATATGCATTTGAATTGTAACTTTTTGGATTTCATTTGGGTTTTGTAGCATTACTCTTTGAAAAAACTTACATGTGGTCCCTGTGTTGGTACGAACAATAAAAGGTGTGACAATTATTGTGTTTTCATTATTTATTTTGCCTTCATCACATGAATTTTAACCTAACGATCTGTGTTCCTTCACTACAAAATTGGAATCAAACTTTTTCATATTTTTCTTCAAAATCGTTGAATTTGCGTGCCCCTTGACATACTTTATGATCTAAATCAGAGTTTTACCGTTCACGTTGGGTAATGGAATCGCATTCGAAGTACAGTTGTCTTCGGAATCTATTACCAAAATACAGTCATTTTCAAATAAAAATACTAATCTACTGCACTTTTAAACTTATTTATTGATTTACTACAATTCTTGAAAGCGGAATTGTTATTCCGCTTTCAACATAATTCTGCTTTCACCGTGTGATACAACAAAAAGGAAAAAGAAATAGTTTTGTAAGCATTAAAAGCGTTCTTGTTGATTTTGCTTTCATGGTGAAAATAGAATTATTGATTCCGCTTTTAAAACTGCAGTAGATTGATAAATAAATTTAAAAGTGCGATAAATTGATATTTTTGTCTGAAAAAGCTAATATTTTGGTATTAGATTCGTCATCTTCAACTGTGTTCGCTGAACATTTAATATTGTGAATGATTTCACTCTCGAGGAAGAGACAAAATTACGAAAGGAGTATGAATGGACGTTTGAAGGAATATAGTAAGATTAATTTTGCTTATACTAAACTTAATTTATGGTTTGAATATACTGGAGTAATTTTTAGGGGTTGTGATTGAGTGTTATGGTTTCTGAGCCCTTGAATTTAAAGGTTTGATAATAGGTGGGTAGTTTTTAGGATTTTTTATTTTTTATTTTTTTTGCTTCATGATATTGAAATTAGGTCATGTTAAGGTGTATTTGACGATTTTATTTTAGTGTACCTATTTGAAGATCTTTATTTTACTTATCTGACGTGCTATATATATTTTTAATGTAAATGTCTAATGATTTGTATTTTTGAAAAAAAAGATAGTCATTGTGCCGGCCTGGTTGAAGGCGAATGAGTATCCATACGAGCTGCATTTTAGATACATGGCTGAACCGAAGTCACAATGATTGTAGGGAGAATTACGATCCTTTGAATTTTGTTTTGAAGTATTAAATATAGACTTCCTAAGGTTTATATGCGTGTAATATTTAGACTCTTGCTACAAATATATCCGTTAATAAATTATACTTAGACATTTTGAAGTTTGTAAGTATATAATAATTAGATCAATTAAATTTAAAATATTATACTTAGACAAAAAATACTCCAATAAAAGTTAAAATATTAAATATTTTAAATTTTATAATCAAAATTCATATTTTATTGTATTATTTATTGAAATAAAATAAAAAATAAAATTTTAATTTTTTCTTAAAAAATTATAATTAATATACAATTATAATATTTATTGAAATAAAACTAAAAAAAAATCAAGCAAGGGATTTAAAAATCGTAAAATTTATGTTCTATTATGTCATTTATTGAAATAAAATCAAAAATAAAAATTTAGATTTTTTTTTAAAAAAAATCATAGTTAGTATATAATTATATTATCTATTAGAATAAAACTAAAAAATTAAACAATTTGTCAAATTGTAATGAACATAATATCTTTTAACTTTATTTGGGATAGTTTAGTATTTTAATTTGACAGTTTAGACTATCAAATTAAATTCTAATAGACAATATAATTGTATATTAATTAAGATTTTTTTTAAAAAAAATTAAAATTTTATTTTAGATTTTATTTTAATAAATGATACAAGATAACATGAATTTTAATTATAAAATTTAAAATATTTAATATTTTATCTTTGATTGAAGTATTTTTTGTCTAAGTTTAACATTTTTAACTTAAGGGGTTTAAGTAATATATGTTTATAAACTTTAACGGATTTGATTATAATTTATTAACTGATATTTTTACAAGGGGTCTAAGTATTATACATATACAAATTTCAGGGAATCTATATGTAATATTTTAAATATTAGGGAATCTGAATAATTAAGTGACAAATCTAAAAAAAAATTATAATTTTTTCATGTTTTTATGACGACACATGAAATACACACATCTGGACGGAAGTCAGTTTTTTTTTTTGTCAGAAAATAAAACTTTCATTAATCAAAGTCAAAACTAAAACATCCAGAGACTTCCACCATCCTACGCCGTCTCTTGATTCCTTGTAAATGAGAGTGATTAGTTGCAATGGCATGTTATGTAGCCATTGACCTGGTAGTGTTCCACCTCGAGCCTTGGATACCACTAGATGTGCAGCTATTAGGGTGTCCACCATATCTTGCGGGTATAAAATATAGTTTTTCGTCTTCCTATCTGATACTTTGCGAAAGAATTTTTTCTTACTCAACCCTACCTGATCAAGTGTGGTATTTTTATCCGACTTCCTACCTGATTAATTGGGTAGGAAGTCGTGAAAATACTTTTGTAATTATTAATTTTTGGATCATTTTAATAATTTAATTAAATAATATGCACCAATTTAATAACACAATAAATCAATAACACTAAAACCTAAAACAACAATTATAATAAAACACAAGAGAGCATGAACGTCAATCCATCATAATTGTTACACAAATACAATAACAATTATTTTAAGTTTAAACTATATAAAATACATTAAAATTATAACCGTTCCAATAGATTACTAGTTCACCATAAATTATGTAATCTACACAAAAAAATAAGTCCATGTTTTAGCAACTCAAACATTCATAACAATGTTAATGTTATAATATAAATTATACTACACAAATATTCTTATAATTACTAAAAAAAATATAAAAAATTTTAAATATATTTTTTGTGGATAGGGTAGGGTAGAAATGCGAAAATTGATGGGTATTTTGTATTACTATCCGATTTAATCGAAAAACCAAAAACTCTTTCGTATTTCTACTTGATTTTTACGACTAACTATTTAATAGGATAAGATAGAAAATAACGACTAATCAGAAATTTGAACACCCCTAACACCCAGATCTCCAAACGAATTCAAAGCTGATTCTAGGAATTTGATTGGCATACGGCCTAATATCCCTCAAAATAGTTTCAATCTCACTTACAGTCCCATCGGGCCCCTTGGTAATGGCATCAATTAGAGTCGCAGAGTCAGATTCAACAATGACAAAAGTCATTGATTAGATTGACTTAACACAATGTTGAAGTTTGTATAACGGGCTTGTTTTGAACTGATTTTTTCGGGTGAAAAGTTATGATTTAAAAAAATTAGTAAAAAAAGTCTTATAAATTTTTGGGGTGTCCTTTAAAAAATTAGAAAAATCTGTTTGAAGTAATTTTCTAATTTTTTTGGCTTTTTTTGTGTCAATAAAAAAGTATTATATGTATGTATTGATTATGCATAATAATTCTCAAAATATGAATTTCAAATTTTTTTTGAATTATTAATAATATTTTATTAATTCACGACAAAACTCAAAAATAGGAAAAATAACCCATAAAATTAACTTCTTGAATCACCTTAAATAAGTTTTTTTGGGTCCAAAAAATTACTGTATTAGCTAATCCAAAAGCTAAGATCCAAACAAACCACACTTATTTTACTTTAAAACCAATAAAAAATCAACCTATTTCAACTAGCTCCAAAAATGCTCAATATAATATGCATATTATAATTAATAGGCCAAAATAATAATCATAGTAAACTTCGAAGGTAAAACGCATAATTAATCATGTTTTTATTGGCAAACTCCCCTACAACTTATATTCAGCAGTTAAGTCGAGAATTATGTTTGTATTGCATTGTTTGCTAGAATACTTGGCCTAGCTATTGTCATCTTACACTTGGTCTTGAATATGATACCTACTTAGTTTATGACTAATCATCACATTGATCATCCACTACCGATCACACAATTCTATAAAAATTTGGTTCTACATAAATAAATTTGAGATTTTTTCTAATATACTTTCTCTCAAATTTATTTAAGCGTAAGTCATTCACCATGAATAGTTTGAGAACTACCTTTTACCAGCGGTTCTTATTTGTATTCACGATAAATGATTTATTCTTAAATAAACTTATAAGAAAGTATTACGGAGAAATCCCACTTCCTAATATAAGTAGGAGTCAGTTTTGGGGTATTATTTGGTGAATTGCCCTCTTTACCTCCATGATAGTAGCTTTCTTGCCATTTATATTCTCCTTAACCTGAAAAAAAAAAAAAATTATCAAGATCTAAACAACACATCTTATATTTGTTATTGGACGGCCAAGATCGAAAATATCATACCTTAGCTCTCAATTCTGCAACAAAGACCCCATTATTTAACGATGATTGGACGGTCACGATCTCCACCCGGAGCTCCCTCATCGACTGCATCACATCCAATAACAAGCCCTCCCTGTACGGACATTGAAGCTCTACCAATGCATCTCTCTCAATTATAGACACTTCCACTTGCACCGCCTCTCCGGCCACCACCGTCTGCGTCAGCGAATCCACCACCTTCGACTTCGCTCCACCACTCCCCTCCACTATCCTCATTTTCCTCTTATCCGAACCTGGGACCACCATAGCCCTATCAACCACCGTGACCCCACTTCTCTGCTCTCTCAAACTACCCTTTGACTTTTGTGGGCCCACCATTCTGGACCGTTGATCAATCTCCATCTGATGGGTCTTTGCCTCGAGATCCTGAATTTTCTTACGCAGTTGCTTCACGTACTCTATGGTGTCTCCAAGAATTGAGGCCTTGTCCATTTTAGTCACGAACGGCACGAGAGACCTCAATATGATGAACCGTTCATTGAGCTTCTCTCTACGACGTCGTTCGGCAAGAACATGGTTGGCACTGAGCTCTTCTTGAGGCGTTCCTTTTCGAAACCGGGACGCAGAGTCGGCAATGATGTCGCGAGACTTTGGAGAGAGTTCTTCCTGGTGCTTGGTGTGGAGGTAGGGGACGCTGAACAGTACGTATTTGAGGAGGCACTGAGAAAAGGCTTTGACAGGGACTTTAGGGTGGCGGTGGTGGTCGGGAGGGGTGGTGGACCACTTGGTGAAGGAAGATAGGATGGAGTACATGGTGGCGTAGGCGGTGGAGGATGGGTCAGACCACCGGGTGGATTGGTGTTGAAGGATGGTTGAGACAGTTTGAGAGTAGTGGGTGTCCTCCTGCGTCAATTCTTCTAATGCAAGCCCTCCTCCTGTGCAAAAATCCATGAAAGAAAGAAAGAAAGAATAAGAGCAAGAGCAAGAGCAAGAGCAATCGCTAGTTTTCCATTCTAATTTGTTAACTTAAATTAATCATTAGTATTAAATTTAAAATAGACTCCAATATTAGTTGGGGGGCTATCTAAAACTCAATAATTATTATAATATATTAGATTAATAAATTAAATTCAAATAATATCATTTGATGATACCTGAAAAGAATTTTAACTAATTGTGAGCTCAGGAGGTGAGGTCAGACAAGGAGGTTAGATATGACATCCAAATCTCAAAGGTCTAGACCTCGGTCTCCCTTCGGAGATTGCAATAAAGGAGACGAGAGGGAAACAACTGGCTAACAGAACGCATCCCCAAAGAAATAGAAAACTATAATCAAAGCACCAAACTCTCAACAAACCAAGATCATCTCTCAAAATTAGGGGAAATCCAGCCAAGATCTCGCCGGAGATCCTGTAGAGATAGAGATTGAAGCTAGAAATACAGTACAACACCTTCGATGCAGGGTGTGTGACCCTGGTAGAACTAAAAACATTTTGTAAATTTCGCAAGTCATTAATATAAATCAAAGGAGCGAGAGACTCCATTAAAAAGTGGATTAGTCGAACTCCCGAACTGGTGAGCCACTATAATTTCACTGTGTGAACCATTCCCTAATAACCCTATCGTAATTCCATCGAACCTAGTAGTCTAGGCAAAACCCAATACAAACATCACTCATTTTGCTCTCTCACGTTTGTTACACTATCAGTTTGGCGCTGTTTGTGGGAAACGATTGTTCATGTTACAAATACGTTGATTCTTCAGTGATTGATGGTCTCAACGTGCAGCATGAGCAGAAATCAGATGAATCCCCCGTGGATCCATACCAACAAGAAGCCACAGGCGACGGGCAATACAAAAACCTTCAAGAATTCGTCCCCACTGCTGAAATCGATCCCCCAACAAATAATGAATTAGAGGCTCTTCGCCTAGTAAACCAGCGTCTACTTCGACAGAACAAAGAGCTCTTAAAATTCTTGCAAGGTCCTTAGCAAACCAAAATAGCCCAAGGAGGTCCTCCGTAGGGAGAGCATCGACACCTCGACCCTCTTAAAGAAGTCAACGAAGTGGGTGAGAATAGTCACGCCCCTTCTGCCTCTTAGAAATGGTGAGAATGAAGAGGGACAAAGTCAGAACGAAGGGATTGAGAACAATGATTTTCTCCCTTTCCAGCGAGAAAGAAGAGAGCAATACTTAAAGTAGCGCTTCTGTGATATCCAGTAGGAGCTCAGTCACATGAAGGAAGTCATAAGGGTAAGACCTTAATGACAATGGATACGTTGGTACAGCAAACCGAGTCCCTATTCATTGTTGGGGTGTTGCATTTTTTCCTCCTTGCAAAGTTCAAAATGTCTCAGATAGAGACATTGGATGGGACTAAAGATCCCATAGACTACCTCAACACCTACAAAAATCAGATGGAGTTGCATGGATATTAGGACCCTGTGTGATGCCAAGCCTTCACTATCACGCTAAAAGGCTCAGCCCTAGCCTGGTTCAATAGACTTCCTTCAGCATTGATCTCTTCCTTCAAGGAGCTCTCCATGTCCTTCGTGTCTCATTTCATAGGAGCTTGGACTTACTGAAAGTCGAGTTACCACCTGTTGAATGTGAAATATGGACCCAACGAAAACCTACAATCTTATGTCCAAAGGTTCAACTCAAAATCCCTGAAGGTAGATGTTCCAGATGAGAAGTTCGTTATCACTGCTTTCATTGCTAGGTTAGGAGTGCAGTAAAAAGATCTGATGTTTTTCATATCAAAGAACCCGCAAGCAAGCATGGTAGAGTTGTTGGCTAAAGTAGAAAAGTATACTAATGGCGAGGAAACCTTTCTCTCAAAGGTAGGGAACTCCTCCTCATAGAAGGAAAAGGTGAAGGAAGAAAAGAAGAGGGATCGAAGTCCCAAGAAAGAAAGGGGACGGGATAGGCCTCCAAGAAGAGACAGGGATCGCTCCCCCAAAAGAAGGGGAGATGTCAGAGATTGCTAAGGTCCTCCACAGCCAGAGTTACAACTGAGGTACGCACCTCGATAGCTCATTCCTCTTACCACAACGATATCATAGATCCTATGTGAGGTATAGAATGAGAAGTTCCTCAGATAGCCACCGCAGATGAAGACGGATCCAACAAAGAGAGATCCTACCAAGTACTGTGAATACCACAGAGACCATGATCACCACACCGATGATTGCATTCAGCTAAAGAAAGAGATTGAATTCCTGATCCAACAAGGGCAACTGAGACATTTTGTGGCCAATGATAATCAAAATCGAGCTCAACCACCTCTAGCACCTCAACAACAAGCACCTGCGCAACATTAGCAATCTCTAGGAGAGATCAGAGTGATATCTGGAGGATTAACAGGAGGTGGAGAATCTAGTTTAGCTAGAAAAGCTCATTTGTGCAGAATCAGGACTGATGAGGTGCTAGACGTGCAAACCGTGTCCAAGGCACCACGGCTGAGCGTAGTTTATCACTTTCTCGAATTCAGACCTAGAGGGTTGCCAACATCCTCATAATGATCCCTTGGTGGTAAGAGTCGTCGTCGTCACCAACAAAACTGTCCATTGAGTTTTAATTGACAATGGGAGCTCTACGGACATCATCTTTGCGCCAGCATTTGACAAGATGGGTATAGGCAAGAAAAAGCTCAAGCCAGTAAGCACCCATTTGTTAAGATTCTCAGGAGAGAGGGTGCTCCCCCCCAGGGTTAATACAACTCATGCTTACAATGGGGGACTCTCCTTGTCAGGCCTTCACTACTGTGAAGTTCTTGGTAGTTAATGCACCTTCGGTGTACAATATGCTGTTTGGGAGACCTTCCCTCAATGCAATGAGGGCTATACCTTTTGCTTATCACTTGGTTATGAAGTTTCCTACGAAAAATGGGGTTGGTGTGGTCTAAGGAGACCAGCGTGTGGCACGGGAGTGCTACATGACGTCTATCAAGAGAAAAGAAGTCAAAAATATTCAACTGGATGAGCTCGACATAAGAAACGGGTTGGACACTAAACCAATGCCATCGGAAGAGTTGGAACCAGTTCAGCTTGACGAAAAACCAGAACACCTTGTCTACGTAGGGACCAAGCCGAGTAAAGGGATTAAAGACCTTCTCATTCAATTCCTGAAGGAAAATATATAAGTGTTTGCCTGGAAGCAAGAAGACATGGAGGGCATCGACCCTTCAGTTATCACACACAAGCTCAGTGTGAATCCACCTGCAAACCTGTTAAACAAAAGCGAAGAAGTTTTGCCCCAGAATGTCAAAAGGCAATCAACGAGGAAGTCAACAAACTTCTTCATACCAAAGTCATTAGAGAAGTAGACTACCCTACCTGGCTGGCAAACGTGGTCCTTGTCAAGAAAACTAATGGCAAGTGGCGACTTTGTATCGACTTTACAAACCTCAATCGAGCTTGCCCCAAAGACAACTTCCCCTTACAACGGATTGATCTGATCATGGATGCCACTGCTGAACACAAGCTTCTCAGCATTATGGATGTTTTCTCTGGATACAACTAGATCAGGATGGATCCTAGTGATCAGGAGCAAACCTCCTTCGTAACCGAGCAGGGAACATACTGCTACCAAGTCATGCCTTTTGGGCTGAAGAATGCTAGAGCCACTTACCAGTGCCTCGTAAACCAGATGTTCCAGAAGCAAATGGGAATATGCATGGAGGTCTATATCGATGACATATTGGTAAAATTACTAAAGGCAGAGTTTCATATCGGGCATTTAGCAGAATCATTTCAGGTTCTCAAAGAGTACAAGATGAAGCTCAACCCCACCAAATATGCATTTGGAGTATCTATAGAAAAATTTCTGGGATTCATAGTCAACAGTAGAGGAATTGAAGCTAACTCAAAAAAAATTTAAGGCAATAATGGACTTGTAACCACCTTCCAATACCAGAGAAGTCCAGCACCTTATAGGAAGAATTGCAGCCCTGAGCCGCTTTGTATCTAGGTCAAGTGACAAATGTAAGCATTTCTTCCAGACCTTAAAGAAGGCGTTCCAATGGGACACTCGATGTGAATAAGCATTCAAAGCCCTTAAAGATTATCTAAGTTCACCCCTAGTGCTGGTAAGTCTTCTTGAAGGAGAGGTACTCATTCTATACCTTGTTGTCTCAGATTTTTTAACTAGTGCAGCACTAGTAAGGGAGCGAAACAGAGCTCAGCAGCCATTCTACTACTATAGCAGGACTCTGAGGGGAGCAGAGAAAAAGTACCCAAAAATGGAGAAGTTTGTCCTGGCCTTAGTTACAACTGCTAGAAAACTCAGGCTATACTTCCAGGCCTATACTATTGAGGTTCCAACAGATCAACCAATGAAACAAGTGTTGCATAAACCAGAATCTTCGGGGAGATTGGTTAAATAGGTCATTGAGCTTAGCGAGTTCGACATCAAGTACAAGCCGAAAACAACGATCAAAAGACAGATTCTAGCAGACTTCATCGTAAAATTCAAGTCAGAAGCACCTGTGGAGGCGACACCGTTGGTGCCCAACCTCCCTGTGTGAAAGCTTTTAGTAGACGAAGTTGCCAACGCTCAAGGGAGTGGTGCTGGTCTAATTTTGACTTCTCCCGATGGAATAAATGTCGAGTATGCCCTTAGGTTTGGGTTTAAGGCTTCAAACAATGAGACAGAATATGAAGCTATCATAGTTGAACTTAACCTCGCACTCTCAATGGAAGCAGAACAACTTGAGGTCTGTAGTGATTTTTAGTTCATGGTGAAACAGATAGCGGAGTCTTATGAGGCTAAGGGCGAGAAAATGGTCATTTGCCTTAGAAAGGTGTAGAAGTTGATCAAGAAATTCATGCATGTTAAGCTCAGGTATGTCCCTAGGTCTGAGAATTCGTGAGTAGACACGTTGGCAAGGCTAACAACTATCTCACAAGGAAACTTAGATAGATTGATACTAGTGGAGCACCTAGCAGAGCCATCAGTAAGTACTAAGGAAGAAGAAGTGTTCCCTGTTTTGGCCTCACCAAGCTGGATGAACCCCATCAGAGAATATCTTCAGAATGGAACCTTACCAGCAAACTCCAAGGAGGCTGCAAAGCTGAGAATGAGGTCAGTTAGATTCTCTATCTTGTAGGGGGATTTATATAAACGAGGTTTTCTGGCATCTCTCCTTAAATGTGTGGAAGATGAGGACGCTAACTACATACTTAGAGAAATCCATGAAGGAGTCTGTGGTAACCATATCAGAGTTCAGGCTCTGGCAGAAAAAGATTTAAGGCATGGATATTACTAGCCCACCATGCTCAAGGACGCTACAAACCTGGTC